ATTTTTCTCATACCCTGAGTATTACACTGTATCCATCCAACATCATGAAATGACCCCCCTATCCTTCCAATGCAGCTCTCAGATTCCATAAATTTCTATCTTACATCTTTCCAATTCTTTGATCACAAAAGTGAGGTCCCCTTCATACACATTCCTCACATTTCATGTTCCTACTCTGATTTGTTTATGAAGGTTCAGGTCCTTCTTTTTCTTGATGCAAACATCAGGCACTGTTCTTCCTGAACGATTGGTACAGCACCAACATAACCACATTCTGCATGCTCTCCTCTCCAGTATAATGTCAACTTTTTCTGGCCTGGGGTTCTCACCGTCCAGTGCCATATGTGGAATGCTTTGCCTTTGCTCTGCCATAATACATCTTCTAAGTGAGTGTGAAAATATCCTTGTTTGTACCAACTCTTAGGGAAGAATCATCTGGGCTCTTAGAGTCAAGCCTATATATAGGCAGACACCCAAACGCTCAGGGAGAATAGTCATAATAGCCAGGCATTTAATGAAACACTTCTGCTATGGGTACAGTTTTATTTATAGAGGTCTTCCTTGACTCCTATCAGAGGTATGTGCAGAGAGACCGATATATGTAGCTATAAAGCGACTTTTTTTGAGAATATCTGTCTGATAATGTTTGCTGCTTGCAGTTTGATGCAACCATGGGAGGGAGGGGAGTACCTCTGAAACAGTTCTAGAAATTAGTTCTCTATCTGAAATCCAGAGGTGAATATGAAGTTCCACAGGTTGTTCAGATTCATAGCTAAGGCCAGAAAGAACCACCATGATCACCTAGTCTGACCTCCTGTATCATACAGGCCCTAGGACTTCCTTGAAGTAATTCTTGTTTGAACTACAGTATCTTTTAGAGAGAACATCCAATCTTAATTTTAAAATTGTCACTGAGGGGGAATCAACCACAACCCTTAACAAGTTGTTCCAATGGTTAATTACCCTCACCGTAAAAAATTTGCATCTTCTTTCCAGTGTGAATTTGTCTAGCTTCAACTTCTAGCCATGGGATCTTATCTTTATCTACTAGACTGAAAAGTCCTCTATCAAATTTTCCCTGTGTAGATACTGACAGACTGAGTTCAAGTCACCCTTAACCTTGTGTTAGCACAACTGAACAGTTAAAATATCATTTCTATTCTGCAAAGAAACAAACCTCATGCACCATTAAGTATATGTGATGGATGTCTCAACCCTTAAATGTGACTTTCTTCCAAGATGGGAGGAACCTATACTTGGTTTACAGAGACCTTCTAAAATGCTGGGCCAACTGCCCCACTGGACTTCAGTGCTCTACTGGATCCAACAAAAGCTTGATAAAGCTAATGAAAGCTCCTAGGTATTTCTATTTAACCATATGGGGGGTGTACTCTGCAATGGTTCCACCATGGAACCAGACCTGAAAATTCTCCCTCCTGGCTCGTAATCAGGAGCTAGTTACAACTAGGTCAGTAGCCCAGGGCCCAATAATGTGTTAATAAAATTCTCTTCTGAGAGGTCAGACTTACAGAACTGTAAGTCGCAAAAAGAAAAGGAGGACTTGTGGCACCTTAGAGACTAGCCAATTTATTTGAGCATAAGCTTTCATGAGCTATAGCTCACTTCATCGGATGCATCCGATGAAGTGAGCTATAGCTCATGAAAGCTTATGCTCAAATAAATTGGCTAGTCTCTAAGGTGCCACAAGTCCTCCTTTTCTTTTTGCAACTACAGACTAACACAGCTGCTACTCTGAGAACTGTAAGTATATTTATGTTGTCAGATCCAGGGGATATCAGAGTGGGTCTCAATGGTCACTTATATACTGATCCAAATCTTTAGCTGTACACAAAATCTGCATCTTCTCTGTGGAGTGTTGGCAATGCATCTATTAATTCCTTGGAGAAGAAAAATGGTGTGGGTGTGTATCTGTCTTTGACTGTAAGCGTACAGAGAAGCACTGAAGCTTACAGGCAGTTCTTTCTGGAGCATCAAACAGATCCTCTGGCACTAGAACCTGTTTGTCCTACAACAACTACCCAGCAGCAAGATCTTTTGATCCATGAAACCACAGAATCAATAGATAGTACCCTCATATTGTCACGAAGCTTGTGATCCAGGTGTCAGTTCTTCTCAACCTGTCAAAGCCTCAGAAGGTATCTAATCACAAACCCATCCTACATGGCTGAATTCCTGCTAGACAACTTAGCAGTTAGGGATGGTCCAGGAGGCCAAGAGATCCAGGAAACTTGCATCCTAAAGTTTTTTAAAATAACTGTATGAGGAGCTTGCTGGACCATTAATTTAATTTTCAATAAATCTTGGATCACCTGGAAAGGTCAAGAAGACTGGAAGAAAGCTAATGCTGTGCCAATATTTAAAAAGGATAAACTGGATGACCTGGGTCCATCTGTCTGACCCACCTGTCACTCTGACCTTGACCCAGGCAAGATAATGAAGTGGCTGTTATGAGAGATGATTACTAAAGAATTAAAGGAGGGTAATATAATTAATGCTAATCAACATGGATTTACAGACAATAGATCCTATCAAACTAACTTCATCCTTTTTTGACAAGATTACAAGTTTGGCTGATAAAGGAAATAGTGTTGATGTAATATACCTAAACTTCTGTACCGCTAATATTCAGGGGTGTATTAACAGGAGTGTTTTATACATTAGACAGGGGAGGTAACTGCCCTGCTCTGCTGAGCAGTAGTGAGGCCTTAGATGAAAAACTGTTCCCACATTAAGAAAGACGTAGACAAACTGGAGGGAGTCCAAAGGAAAGCTACAAAAATGAGAAGGTTTAGAAAGCCTGTTCTGTGAAGAAAAGTTTTAAAACTGGGCATGTTTAGTATTCCCTGAGAAGACTGAAGGATGCCCTAATAAGTCTTCAAGTATGTCAAAGATTTTTATAAAGAGGATGGTGATCAATTGCTTTCCTTGTCCTCTGAAGATAGGACGAGTAATCAGCAGCAAGGAGAGTTCAGTTAGAAAATATTTCCTAATATCTAACCATAAGAATAATTAAGTACTGGAAGAAGTTACCACAGGAGGTTGTAGAATCCCTATCATTGGAGGTTTTTAAGAATAGGTTACACAAACGTGGTCTAGATAACCTCTTGAGGCCCCTTCTGGCTCTACATGTCTATGATTCTATGCACTGTGGGAAGCTGCTTCAAAATATTCAGACAGCCAGCTTGGCAGAAACCTTTTTCTCACTATCTTGAACAAAAACTGTATCTGATGTTTAAAGTTAATGCCTGTGAAAACTGCTAGACCAGAGGTTCTGAACCTTTTTCACAGCATGGGCTGCATTTACATACCACAAGCATCTTGTGAATACCACCCCTTCCACTCGCTGTTTTGTGAATCATGTTCATGCCTGTTCGTGGTCTCATTATACCCCTGTGGCAACTACAGCAATTGCTGACAAAGGAAAGTAATTTTAGGAATTCTTTAATGGGATTTGGCTGCTGGGGCGGGGGGGGAGAGGAGTCATCACCATGTGACCAGCCATCTCTCTGTGCATCACCAGAACAGTTTGGGGAACCTCTGCTCTAGAAGTTGTTCTGTATTAATACATAAAACAGCCACCACAGACAGGGGCAGTACAAACTTTCCCACATTTCTCCATCAACATGCCACAACCCTGACTTAAGTAGAATACTACTAGGAGTGAGATGTTAACTTAGCCTCCATGCTATTCAATCCATGAGCTCACTGATGAGACTGTCAACTAGATGGCCGACTGTTGCCAACTGCGGTGGTATTTTTTCTGTTGTAAGCTTATTCCTAATGCATTGAACGTTGGTGTGTTCCAGCCTCTATCCTGTAATGCAAAAAGAAACCTTACAATATAAGGACCTGACCCTGTGTACTCTAATTCACAGGTATAGCTCCTTCTCACACAAATAGTCCCATTTGAAGATAATGGTTCTGCACAGGGGACTACTCCTGTGAGTAGAGGTTTTTAGGATCAGCGTATAAATGAAATAGACACACATGGATCAGAAATAAAAGTTAACAGGTGACCAGAAGAAGGTTCAACCTGAAAAGGGTGCCAGTTTTTTAAAATTTTCTTTGTCTACTGTGAACTGGACTGAAACCCCAAGGAAGCAGATCTCCAAATATTCAATAGATGTCTCCCACATCTCCTGATAAAGGGACTTTTTCCCTCTTGCCTCCACTCCAGTTACTAAAGCCGAGGTCTCCAGAAGGTCATAAGAGAAGAAAACATACACCCCTCTTAAGATTGTCCTTTTTAATATTAACCAGATAGGTAAATGTAAGACAACAGTAGTGACAAGGTTGAGAAAGTAGAAATGAATTATTTTTATGTAGTATTTCAGGGCATCATATTGGAGTTGATGTTTGTTGAAACTATTCACACACACACCCTTGAAATGTTTTCTCAGTACAATTCTTCATTTCCATTTGAGCAGATATGCATAACAGCATCATGTTGCTACTTCCAAGGAGGATAAATTAAACCAAAATGCTTGAATAAGGCAAGAAGCGAATACGTTGCTGCTGGTGGTACCTCTGAGCATCCTGTCTTACTTCCTTTTGCTCATTTTCTCTAATCAGAAAAGAAACCCATAGTAATTTAAAAAGGATGAAAAATGTAAAACTTATGGAGGGTAAAGTTTCCATGCATGAATAAAATTGCCAACTCTGAAGCTGCCAAGAAATATGCTTTAATTTAGGAGACAAAAGATAGCATTAAGAAAAATTGTCATAATGAAAGGTGAAAGGATTTTCTATTGTCTAGTCCCTCTCTCTGTGGGAATTTTCTCAGCACAGACAGCTGTAACAGGGGAGGGGTATTGTGAGCTTCTATATCCTCATTCTCGCTCTCTGTCAATAAATGTCTGCAATCATATTCTTGAGCTCCCATGTGATTTCAAGGTTCATCTCTTCCATGCAGCTCAAACACTAATTATCCCAGCTGTAATTAGTAAGATAATTAAATACTGGCTCACTCATCATTCTACCTTGTGTCGGGTCATGATTCTCCCAGAAGACCTTGAGCAGTTTCTGAAATCTGATGTTTTCTGGCTGATACACTACTCGCACCGCTTCTGTATGGCCAGTTTTCCCTAAAAAGACAACACAAAACTCGACAGTATTAGTAACAATCAAGCAAGGCATATCCAAGACATGAAGCACAATATTTTTGCTTTCCAAAACACAAAAAGGTAATGTACTTGTGTTTTCACCTAACATAATTTTTAGCCCCAGCTTCCCTTACACATTCTTTTATGACAGTATCCACAGTCAGACAATTGCTAGTTTGGATAAGGCCCATAATGGACTAAACTAACTGGAAGCAAAACTGAGAGGAATAAGACCAACCGTATCATAGGAGTTCAGCAACTTTCTGAAAAATGTAAATGCAAATTCTGGGTAAATATTCCTTAAAATATATGAAATGAGTGAAGTAATGAAAGCAAAAAACAAATTCCACGTGCCTGTTATACAGTATTAAACACATGGCTGCAAACGATCCTGTGTTGCCCACACCACAGAATACCAATGGACTTCAATGAAAGGCTCTAAGTGCGTGACTGAGCACTATGAGAGCAAATGAAATGTGTGCAGGGCATTGCACACTGAAAGAGATTATTTCCTATTTTTGGCTACTTTATGTGCCCTATCGTGCAGCCCTTACACACCCAAGCTCCCACTGATTGTATTGAAAGTGCTAGCTTCACAAAGCCTGCAGAATCAGGCCAGTTAACTTCTTTTCTTATAATTATTTAATATTTATATTACCATAATGCACATACTCCTCACTCAGGATCAGGCCCCCATTGTGCGAGGTATTGTACAAGCATATACAAAGAGTTTTCAAATGAAGAAATATTTTCCTTTATTAGTGTAAACTTTCCATAAGCAAAAAAATACATATTCTATTCTTTGGCGAAATCTACATTTTCAACATCAATAAAAGGCACTGGAAATATTAACAAATATTAAGGAAAAAGAACAGCCAGTTCTACATTTTGTTGGGGAGGGGCCGGCACTGCTTGAACACACAGAGCTAGACTTTGATCTCAGACACCAGTGTAAATCTAGATTAATTCAATTCACTTCAGTGGAATTGATCTGGATTTACAGCAGTGAAGCAGAGAGAAGAATCTGGCCTGCTGATGGGGTTCTGAATTAGCTGCTACTGTTCAAAGTGTCATTGGGGAGGACTCTGTGAAGACATTGGCTCAATGCACAGCAGAACTGAGAAAAAGTCAAAAGGACAGAGAATACAGAAAACAGAGAAGGGAAAGGAAATGAGAAGCAACGTAAGGCAAAGGGAAGAGTACAGGTTAGACACAAGAAAAGATTTAAAATATTAGGATTAAATTTAATCTGGAAGGTAGAAAAGTAAAAAGGGATATGACAGAGATGCACTATATACAATCATAAAAATTATAGAACCCAGTTGGATTTCACTATGTGTCCTGTCTCATAACACAACAAAGAGACACTCATTAAGATTAGTAGCAAGTAAAAGGAAATTATTTTATACATAGCATATAAACCAAGCTATCCTCCTCTGCAGGACATTAATCAGACAAATACAGTGATGGCCCAATTCCACCTTCACCAGTGCAACTCCTATTGAAAGCAATGGGAGTTACTCATATGTCTGAAGGCAGAATTTGACGCTAGGTTAACAGAGAAGGATTAGACATTTACATGAATAAAAATAATTTGCAGTCTAACTTGGTTATAAAGTGACATGGGCCTCTCCCATAGAGTATAAACTGAGAGCTAAAGGGGGTCAGCAAGGAGATTTTCACCCTAAAGAATATCATTACATAATTGGCCACAAGCATTATGGGGGCTTTCACCTTCCTTGATGCACAAATATAGGGTCATGACACTGCCTAGACTAGAGGAGCAGACTAAATGGATGATGGTCTGTTCCAATATGGCAATTATGACTTCTCTGTGTATAGTGGCTAATAATGAAAGCTAAGGGAATAGTTGCTAACATCAACATATATTTCTTCTTTTCTTTAACTCAGTGTGAACTTTACAAAAGGGTTTTATCTCACCGACAGGAGTAAATAGCACGTCTAAGCTGACCAGTTTTATATCAGAAGACAGTCTCTCAAAGAACTTCAAAACAACAGAGTTTCCACCCTTCCTCACAACTGGAGCAGCAATTACATCTTGTCAACATACTTTCTTTGAGTTCCTAGATTAGTCAGAACAATCAACTTTCTACTTTTCCTCTGAACAAGAAAATCACTGTGTTGCTTTGAGAACTATGGTCTGACCCTCAAGGAAAAAAAACCTTGTGATGTGTGGCTACAGGACAGTGTGGGTTGTTAGAACTTAAGCATGTCTAAAACCAATATCCCTCCTCAGACGAAAAACAGGGGGATGATGTCTGTTGGCCTTCTCAGATTCACCTTTAATTTTCCTCAAAGCCTTTACACAATAAATTCCGCTCTGAACCCAGTGGATTTTCTTTCATAACATAGCATGAAAGTTACTGCTACTCACAGCATGATTAACTGCCATTCCACACTCAGAGCACTTATGGGCAAGGTGCTGAGCTGTTTCATTTCCCACTGACTTTGATGGATACCTCAGCAATGATTTTGCTATACATAAGCAGACAAGCAGGAGGCATCATGCAGGATTGGGTGCTTTGAGCTGCACTGGAAGGAGCACACAGAGCAGGTGGGGCAGGGGAACCAATGGAAACAGGGCTCCTGAGGGTATGTCTGCACTCCAACTAGGAGTGAGCCTCCAAGCCAAGGTAGACAGACTTGTATTAGTGGGGCTCAAACTATCATGCTAGAAATAGCAGTGGGATGTTGCAGCTTGGGCTGGAGCTGAGGCTCTCAAGCCTAGAGGGTCGGGGAGCTGGAAAACCCATGCTGGAAACCAAACTGGAAAGTCCATGCTGCTATTTTTAGCACGCTAGCTGGAGTAAGCAGTTCAGTGTTCTCAGTTCATTTATTCCTCTTGATTAACTAGTTTTTAATAATCACCATAAGGTCTAATACTCTATTCAGAACCAAGCTTCACTTTAATTTCCAAGAGGAAGTTTTAACAAATATGAATATTTTTATAAACCTTCCCAAAAAACGCAACAAAGTTAAAATCAGTTTTTAAAGTAGTTTACTGTATCACTGAATATAATTTAATTTGGTGTTAAATGGGCAAACAGAAATCCTTTATTTATAGGAGCTATTATCTGATCCCCTACTTTCCACAGACAACTCTCCTTCAACTTCAAAACGGCTATCGGAGAACTTAGCCGTAGATTGTAAGACTTTATTATACTGTTCATGAGAGGACTGTTTGCCAATAGCTGATTGTCTGTTTAGCCTATATCCATTTGCTACTTGGAAAACATAGCCAGTGTCCAAGGATTAGCAGCAGTGTGCTCTTTCAATGGAGAGTCAAACTCTGGCAAAAAAAGCTCCATAACAGAGCAATGGAAAAAGACATCTGTATCTGTGTGACATCTCAGTGCTTCTTGTCAACTTTTCCTTTATAACAGTGTTTTGATTCTCACCTTTTTAACTATTTTTGATAACCTTTGGTTTTTTAAAAAAAGACTATGTATTAGGGTTGCCAACTTTCTATTTGCAGAAAACGGAACATCCTTGACCCACCCCCCCTGCCCTGCCCCTTCTCTGAGGTCACGCCCACACTCCTCACTCCATCCCCCACCCTCACTCACTCGCTCATTTTCACCAGGCTGGGGCAGGGGGTTGGGGTGTGAGAGGGGGTGAGGGCTCCGGCTGTGGGCTCTGGGATGGGGCCAGAGATGAGGGGTTTGGGGTGCAGGAGAGGACTGCAGGCTGGGGTAGGGGTGTGGGAGGAGGTAAGGGCTCCAGCTGGGGGTGGGGCTCTGTGGTGGGGCCAGGAATGAGAGGTTTGGGGCACAGGAGAGTGCTCCGGGCTGGGGCAGGGGGTTGGGGTGCAGGAGGGGGTACAGGCTCTGGGCTGGGGGTGCGGGCTCTGGGGATGAGGGGTTTGGCGTGCAGGAGAGGACTCTGGGCTGCGGCAGGGGTTTGGGAGGAGGTATGGGCTCTGGGCTGGGGCTGCAGGCTCTGGAGTAGGGCTAGGGATGAGGGGTTCAGGGTGCAGGAGGGGGATCTGGGCTGGGGAAGGCAGTTGGGATGCAGGGTACAGTGAGGGCTCCAGCTGGGGGTGACAGCTCTGGGGTGAGCTCGGGTTTGGGGTGCAGGAGGGGGCTCAGGGCTGGGGCAGGGTGTTGGGACATGGCAGGGGGGGTTGGGTTGCAGGCTCCAGGTGGCACTTACCTCAGGCGGCTTCCGGGAAGCAGTGACATCTCTCTCCGGCTTCTAGACAGAGGTGTGACCATATGCCCCTGCGCACTGCCCACACCTGGAGGCACCGCCCCCTCGGCTCCCATTGGCAGTGGTTCCTGGCCAATTGGAGCTGCTGAGCTGATTCTGGGGGTGTGAGCAGCGCACAGAGCCCCCATGGCTGTCCCTCTGCCTAGGATCCAGAGGGAGATGCCAGCAGCTTCCCGGGAGTCACACAGAGCTGGGTAGGGAGCCTGCCTGCACCACTGATCGGACTTTTAATGTTCCAGTCAGCAGTGCTGACCGGAGACCCCAGGATCCCTTGTCAACCGGGCATTCCAGTCGAAAACCAGATACCTGGCAACCCTACTATGTATACATAGATTAGAATTGCTCTTTGTGACAACTGCATTATGGACTCAAAACGGTTATCTCATTCTGTTTTCTTATGTGCATACCCATATGAAAAACTCCCAGATTTACAACTAGCCTAATTTTTCCCTCTGTCCTAAGTAATTTCCCTTTACCGGCGGCGCTATGTGTTTGTTTTACTGACAATTCTACCCCTATTTTATATTTTTAGTATAGGAGTGTCAGAATACTGGATCAAAAACCTAAGAGCTTGAGTGGCAACGTCAATGATAGCTGAGGGTGATCAATACATCAGACCATTAGCCCCTGTATCTCAATTTCCCCCTCTGTACAGGAGGAAATTTACCTACTGCATAGCATGTTGTGAGGCTTAACTGAGAGCAAGTCCAGTCTCCCCATGCCAAGGTCAAATATGGGGAAGTGGTGCAGGG